TGAGGATCGACTCTTTCTATCCCGAACGACCTTATCGACGTATACCTGTCCAAATGATTCTCATTCTTTACTTTTCCTGAATTCTTTTTGTCTAAGTTACCCTGGACTTAGGAGAAATGAAGAATATATGAAGGTCACTTGCAGTGGACACATCTTCTACCTCTAGGAAGCATCTGGGGCGGGGGTACGTTCCTTCAGGAGGCGACCCTGTTCTCGACCCAGAGTGGACCGTCCTACAGGGGGGTACTTTAAACTATAATTCTTGAATTTGGAGTTGCTGCTTTCATGTGTCATATTTTAAATGTATATTTTATCATGAATTTGGAAGTATTCTTTTAGTTACAATTCTTGCAAAAATTGTCAACCAAACGTTGGCTTCCTTTTGATATTGTTTTGCAGATCTATTTAGTCATGCGTCTACCTAACCTCGTGTCAAGCATGGTCACTGTACCTCAATGACAGGGGTCTAAACCAACCTCGGTTGTATGACGTGGGGCAGTTCTACTCTATATGCAGAGGACTAACGAGGTCAAAAACAATGGAATCGGAGGGAATGTGGTGTGGCTTGAATCTAAAGCGGGGCTTGATGTCGAGATGTTATCCTTATACAGATTACACCACTCCTCGACGCATTCACAAGGGGTTCGGAAATAACGGGCATGATAACTTATGCGAATTAAAATGAGGATCATAACTTGGTCGGGGAACTTTGGACGAATGGTTTCTGTCATGAATGGTTGGTTCAGATTTTGAATGGGCCGCTTAAGAGGTTAATTATTTTGAAAGACCCGTCAGGGGGTTAAACCTGATATTTTGTTTTATGCAATCAAAATTGTTCTCGTTCACACTTTTCATGCATGTAAACAGCGGCACAGCAAACTGGCGACATGCGCCGAAACAAAACTCGGAGATATGGCTATATGAGTTCACTTTCAATTGGCTATGGCGACTGAGCGCCCAACCAACTCATTGTTCAGACACATCAGATCACCCTGGATATCCCACACGCGTCACTCTGAACACTCGAACACACACACACACACACACTTCCTACTAACTACAACTATTGCAGCTATGACTGCCTCTAACCTATCGCTATACTAAGCTCTTTCTCTCTCGCCCACTGCGTCCCCCGGGCTCACTGTAGACCTCCTTGCGCAAGTCGTTGTGGCAGCGCTTCAGCATGGCTCACGCAGGAATGAATGAAAGGCTGGGCGCTGCCTCTTGATGTATACTTCGGAAACTCGTTGGTCTGCCCTTTGCCATCGGCCCATGGTGCTCACAGTCCCCCGTGCCGTGGTACTTGCTGGACCGGACTGGGACTGACTGAACCTTACCGTTGACTATCTGTTGACTCACTGTTATCCTACCGTCGTCGTACTGCGATTGCACTGCAGTTTAGTCCACCACTTGCCTCGCCATTTGACCACTTGCCCACTTGCCGACCTTCTAGAATGACTACAGCTAGACTTCTGGAACTTGCTAAGACTTCTACTCTATAGACCTACAGATCGAACCCTTGCTGCTTATGGACCTACGACAGACCCACCAACTGTCTACGAATACACAGGTCAGAGGTTCAACTCTCGGGGTCTACACAAATACTGTACATGGGTAGGGTGAGGTCTAGGGATAGAGCCCTGGGTACTGCCTCTGCTACTGCTAAAAGGTGAAAACCGTTTCACTCCCGCCGTTCTAAATTCGAGGTCCTTCGATAATATTTCAGTCCAAAGCAGAACCTTTACCCTTCTTGTCTCGCTCGTAGGCTCTGACTATGTGAATTGGAGACAGCCATAACCACCACTTCACTTTGTGAAGTGCTGGAGAGGTGTTGCGCGGCCATCACGACGACGACGACCATAGTTGGAGAGGTGGTGGGAAGGTGTTGTTCGTTCAACGCGACATCGGCTGCCATTTTCTGTAAGGTGTAAGGGTTATATCGCACATGGCAGCGATAATTGGAGAAGTGCTGGGGAGATGCTGCGCGTTTTTTGCGACGACGACAATTTTTTTTTTGACGTACTGTGGGAGCGCTACCGATTTTTTCGGCGGCAGCTGTGATTTTTTGGCAGTGACGCAGAAGCGCTGTCGAACTTTTTCGGCGCCAGGTGTGATTTTTTTGGCAGTGGTGAGGAAGCGTTGCCGGTTTGGCACGGCGGCAGCGACGTTGTCAGTGAGGAAGTGCTGCCGTTTGTTTTTGGCACGGCGGCAGCGACGTTGTCTGTGGGGAAGTGATACCATTTTTTTGGCACGGTGGCAGCAACATTTTTCCGTGGGATCATGCTGCCGAGATTGGCAGTGGTATCGACGTTATTTTTTTTGGGGTTATGCTGACGGCACGTCGGCAGCACTATTGTCAAGGAAGATGCTGCGGGTCTTTTGCCGCACAGTGGAGGCAGTTTTTTGTGTGTGATCTGGCAGTGGTGTTGCGGGGCAGCCATGGTACTGGTTTTGACGGTGCAGCAAGCAGTGGTCCGCGTTATTTTTGTGGTGCGCAGCGTTTATGGTGGATTTCAGTGTGGCCTAGAGGTTGGGTTAGAACTGGTGCGTGGTTGGGACTGTGAGGCAGTGGTGCGTGGGTCGACGACATGCGGAAAGTGCAGAGAGGTTGCATATGGCGAAGTAATTATGGGGCTCGCGACACCTGTGGGTTTCACCGGGGGCCACCTTTATTTTTTTGCGGCGCGCGGTGCAAGCAGTTTTGAGTTTTGGTATTGTGGGCGATAGTATGGGGTTGCATTGGGACCATCTGCGACCATTTCGAGACTAGGTGGGACTAGTTGTTGTGATCGGGACTGGCATGTTGGTGTGGTTATTGTGAGTGGACGTGATGAGAGGCGACATGGACTTGCGGCTGGTTGGGGAGTATCTTTGGTGGTCAGGGTGCAATTGACACTGTACGTGAGAATGACTTGAGATTTGATCATGGGAGCGCCCTCTTTAAGGGTTATCTCATTCGGTCATCTCAGTGGGTCCAACCCTTGGTGTGATCGGGCACTTGGAGAAAGGCGCGGGCCGTCACTCAGGAGAAAGGCCACAACTTATTAGTTGT